AATAACAGTTTTGTACCTTAAAATTTAGAGGAGTGCTGAATTTCGTGTGATGTTCTACAAGGCGGGGTTCGTAAAAACCTGTCTGTTTGTTCTACGTATTCTACTTTACAGGCAGGGTAGGGTAATGTGCAGATCATACGGGAATTAAGGTCTTGACGTACACGATAGTTAGAAGAGCAACAACAACAACTTTATTGACTTTATCTTCGACACGAAGATTTCAGTACCAAAACAATGACAAATGAAGAAAGTAAAATAAAAGTTAAGTAAGAAAGAAAGGAACAATTGAATATTATCACAAAAGAAAAATTACTTGGCTATGTACGGCTTCTACGCTACTCGTATGGTAAGAAAGTTTAATTAGAGTTCGGATGCATAATAATTTAGAATATTTTCAATATAAGAGGCACTGAGATTTATGATGTTTTCATCGCACATAGACATGATATATAAAAATAGTGCCTTGCAAGACATATTCGTAAAATTACTGTTTATCGAGTATAGGCTCTCCAAGAAGATACCCCTTATATGAGAAAGTGATGAGTGGGTACATTTCAGTTAGAAGAGCAAAAAGTTTAGATTTTTGACAGATGATTGTGGTATTGACGTCACTTGAGACAATGTTCTTACAACGTATCTTCTCGGAAAACTTGGTGGCGTTCGATTGGAGCTTTGCCAAAAACGTTCCAGGCAAAAAATCTCTTTATTAGGTACATACCTCTTTTTAGCTGGGTCGCGCTTGGGCCATGAATCGATGGAGAAAGAGGCCATCAGTAATTTTAAATATGGACCTAGAAAACGAGGTTGAAAAGACAAAAAGATGCTTATTATATATGGGTTCCTGTTTGGGAGACCGGAAATAGGAAGAAGACAAACGAATTGCTACTTATTAGACAGCCCCCAGAAAGTGAAAGTCTCTATTAGCTCAGAGAAACAATAGCGCAATGCAAGGGCTTCAAAAGTGAAATCAAAATGTAAATGCGCCGTGTTGAAAAAAGTACAATTCTGTCAGAACTAAGAGCACTGCAAGTCCTAGCTCGACAATTTGACACTGGAATATATGAATATTACGTTTGACTCGAAGTCGCTTCTATCATTCGTTCGCAAAAAAACTGCAAGTGGCAAGGAAGCCTGTCAAGATCAGACTCAGAAACGTTTGTCATGTCAAAGGAATCTCGCTTACTTCTCTAAAAGCAAAATTTCTTGAATATCCGCCAGTCTATTCTATCCTTCTTAACTCTGTTTTGCAATTTTTGACCTGTGATAAAATTTTCAATTTCCTGACTAGAATATTCTTTTTCGATAAGATTACATTTCAGTGTTTTCATTCACTTCGTTTTAAAATAACCAGGTTAAAATTTAGAAGGACGAGGACATCTTCCAATTTGTAGCTTAAAAACGAACATTTGCTATTGAAATTTTGCTCCGCACGGTAAGTTAAGAATCGCAAATTGTCCAGTTGCAAGGCTACAATAGGGTTAGCAATATTATAAACTTTCTTGTTAATGTATCAAGTGAGTAAAAATGGGTAGCTTTTTAAAAGAATATGTTTTGTCCATTTTAAACAACACTTTGTAATAACATTGTTAGAAAAATTAGCATATATTGAAAAAAAAAATCATTTTATCTTATTTCCTTGCAGATATTTGCTGCGAACTAATCTAAAGACATTGAATCCTGAGTCTATCGTTGGCTATCCAGCACCGGGATCAGACAGTAGCAGCTTACTTGGCAGCTTTTTTTCCACAGTGTAACGTATATAAAATGTGATTTACAGAAACAACAACCTTCAAATTTTCCTGGCTCCAGAGGTCCCTTCTTGAAATACTCAGGATGAAGTAAACCGTGCCTAGGGTTTGATGGTTTGGATTAATTTAGGTTTCTGAGAAACTTCCGACCGACCCTCCCCTAAGCCATCATTTTGCCCTAAGTGAGAAGAAAGGGTGAATGTTAGCTTGGGGGAGGGGTAGGTGGGCAGTTTCCTAGAAACCTAAATTGATCGGATGGTTTTAGATAAGAAAATATAACCTCTGGAATCCAGGGTATCTTCAATTAATAGGAAGCAAAAGTATTCGTTAACGCTGAGGAGATTATCCGGAGATTATCAGTTTTCGGGAACAGAAAATCACAATGTCAAAATAACTGTGCAGGCGTACTTTCATAAGAAATTTATTCCGTAAATGGCCTGCACGTTCTATGTGTGCCATACATTGTTTGATATGTGTTTGCTGATTTTTTTTTGATGAACTTGAATGAGATACCTGTTAAATTCGTTCAAAGCTATAGAAATGTTTTGTTTCTGGAACAAAGCACCTTACAACTTCCTCCAACAAAGAGTGTCGAATCTGCTATCTCACGAATTAGAGAATTTGGACATGGAAGTCTAACTTGTGTTTAATTCACGCTTGCAAAATGATATTTTAGGGATGCTTAGAGAGTTTAATTTACCTTTTTACACGTAACATGTTCCCTGTTATTGTAGTCTTTGTCGTTGTTGCTTTTTTTCCACAGGGTGATGAAGGATAGGAGGCTAAGGACAATTAAATATTATTACCGTGGAGGCGGGGCTGATTTTTTAATATATCTGTCAGTACAACAATTAAGACTATTTGAACGCGGGGATTTTTGTTAAAAATCCTTAAGAAAAGTGCTATTATTACCACGGATTTATGTTTTATCGCCAGGTAGTGGCCGGGGGGCTGTTTTTTTTCATTCCATCTATGGGGGCATCTCTTGTTTCACTTCCGAAATGATTTTAACGCTATAAACCATGAAACTAGGAACGGAAACTGGTACAAGAAGTTTTTAAGGTGAAATTTTCGGTTAAAAAGCTTTCATCTTTTACGCCTAACCCCTTTGAGACCCTTTTGTTTACCCTGATCACAGGCTACCCAATGCAAAAAACGGAACAGTTGGTAGTAATATGTAACAAACCACAACTTAACGACAATTCAAGGAAATAAACCAAACCCTGTGCAAACCAGCAGAGTATGACCTATTCTTTAACGTAATTTACCGTTCGACCAAACTCTTTTGGTGAGAATTTTTTTTTTTCTAATTGCATGAGGATAAAATCATTTTCATATCAAATGCTACGCCCTTAGCTTGGTTTCAAAACAGAGGTTTGAGAAAACTAAGAAACGGCCGATTAAATAAAAACTTAATTTCTTTCCGTATAGATATCCCCACGAGTCAAAATCACAATCGATTGTGGTGTATAACAGTCACAGGGAACCAGCCAGAAGCCTAATTTCTGCTCTTTCGGCCTCGGGATTCAGACAAGTTTCTGGCGATCAACCGAGCAATGTCGGACCGTTCTTTTTATCATACCACCTGCCATGTCCTGTTGGCACATTCTCCAACATAACTTCTCAAGGAGCCGAAGGATGCATACCCTGCCCCCCAGGTAACAGAGGTTCCCATTCATACTTGACATTCCTGTCCTGTCACCGTAGTCATCTTGTTGTATTATAATGTTCAATTAAACCCTAGTTCGGTATTCACTACACACAGGGGCGGATCTAGGATTTTTTAATGGAGAGTGGCTGATACCAATCGATCACCAAATTACACGTTAATTTGTCTTAAGTTGTCCTACGTTTGTCCCAAAACATGGCGATTTAGAAAGGACAAATTGGTGACTTTAACACTGCAAACTCTTGGAAAGCCACAAAATAGAAAAAATAGAAGCTAATAGAAATACCTTACTAACCTAGTCGGCCAAAGGTGAAGACACCGTCATTCGTCCAGGGTGCAGCGCCACAAATTTCTGACAAACTACACTTCTCTCGATGGTTCTGCATTTGCATGCATGCATGTATTTCTATTTTTTGGACCAACGTATTTCCGTTTGTTTTTCCGTGTATTAATTTTTTTTTTAGGTGGACTTTCCTAGGGGGAGGGGGGGGGGGCTAGCCAGCCAATCCACCCCCCTGGATCCGCCCCTGACACATCCACTTCTGTACGGGACATTCCCTTATCCATGTTTAATCAACGTTTAAGGAAATCTCTTCAGTTCACTACTGTGAACGCAAGTTCCTTAAGGCTCTCTCTCTTAACTGTCATTTCCCCGATCTTTTTAAGTACACTGTACAATTTGGTTGTCACGTTCTTTGCTTGTGTTGTTTGTTTATTTGTTTCTTTGATTCTCACTTTGTTTGTGTGTACTATTTGTTACGTTGCTTGCGTATGTCGGCATTTATTTATCTCTTTGGAATATGTAAACTATATAGTTTAAGCGCTATATAAATAATAATTCTTTATCTTAAAACCTTTATGTACCAATATTGTACATATGAAACTTGTTTTTGTCCTTTGCTTTCAAGAGTCTTCAATATCTTTGCGGTAAACTATCTGAACTGGTAATCAGAAAGTCCTACGTTCGACTCCTGTTGTGCGGTGGTCACTCGTCTTTTTTGGTTTTGAAACAAGAGCGATCAAGAAACCAAAACCTCAACAACATACTTCAAGTGCAAACATATAGTTTTAAAGATTTATGGAAAAATATTAAGTTTCATAGTAAGACACTTCAAGGCAAATTAATATTATACGAAGGGGATTCAATATGATAACAAAGCCGAAAAATTTGTTAAGAAAGAATAAGTTAAGGCAATATTTTTAAACACTAATAAGACCGACCTAGAACTTTCTAACCATTGAATGTCTCATCATATACTAAAGATTTTTTATATGATACATATGTTTTTCTGATACACATGTTTTTTTTTAGGTGGGTTTTACTCCGATGATATTGGATATGTGGGCACAAGCTGTAAGAAATGCCCCAACGGTTCTTTTGTTGCCTTGAATAAAGCACCAGGAAAACAAGTTCAAGATTGCAAGACTTGTCCTCTTGGTAAATAGCTACAATAAGTATACTTTTGTTATGTTTCCAGTGTTTGTTTGGTTGGTGGCTATTATTTTATATAAATTTTGTGCAACTTACAGTCTGACAATTTTTATCCATGAATAGGTCATTTCCCAGATCCAAAAACTCTCAT